CATTAAGGAGTTCATATTCTACAGTTCAAAACAAATCTACTATGATTTTCTTCTTGCTTTGCATTAAGAGAAGGTTATCTGTTCTTTTCCTTTGGCAAGGGAAAAGGAGATATTATTGCATATACTTGATCCTTCATCTGGATTCCTGCCTTCTGATATTTAAATAAACATAACTTAATACACCAGAAATATTCAATGTTTCACAAAGAGCTTCTGTTCACATTTGGTAAAACTTCTTTTGCTAACCTATGTGCAGAAGAATTCTTGTATAAGAGGAACTAGTTTGGCTTCCACATGAGCAGCTGTTAATGTAGGCACACACTCAAACACGCAGTGGTCTGAAATAGCAGCTCTCTAGACGTTGAAAGTCAAGAAGGGCCAGCTCAGGTTGCAGGGCTGCATGGCCACCCCTGTGAGATGGTATAATCACAAGCCAGTGAAATCCTTTACCTGCTAGGAAGCTATTACTGGTCACTCCTTGCGCTTGTTACAAGCATTGGGATTGGCCTGTAAGCAGTGATTCATGAAGGTATCACACTGCTCTGCCTGCTGTGCTGCTGTCTTGGCTCACTGCATTCATTTCCCTCCTATTTTATGCAAACCATACATAGCACGCAGCAAATCCTGTTCCAAATGTCTCCTCATCTTTTTTCCTCATCCAGAAGGTAGTTTAAAATCACAAATGGACAGAATGTGTCACTTGAAGCCATGGTTGTGATTTGTTCACACTTTTGACTTTAGAAGAAATTCCAATTTGCTGCTTTTTAGTTATGGCAATTTCCAGTAGATTCCCCATTCCCTTGGCACTGATGAGAACAAGAGTTTTGTCTCATCATAGTCATTAGGAAATATTGGTTGCTTAATGCTTATTTACAACAAGGATTTACGAACTATAAATGCCTACAGCAGAGACACATTTTTCAGGGCTCTGCGCACGCAGATTGCTGCAGCTGCAACACCAGAGCGTTCGTCGTGCTTTGCGTAAGAGCGCAGACACACCAGATCACTGCCAGTCAGACTGCTAGTTTTCAGCTCAGATTTCTCTGGCAGCGTGACCCTGGGAACACTTCACTTCCCAGCAATAAATAGCAAAGAACTACCAATTAGTTGCATTTGTTTCCTAATACTGTGTGTTTTAAAAGTGTTCTCCCTTTGAAGCATTTGTAAGAGCAGGACAAAAGATGCCATGCAACACAAAATTCAGCTGATGTACTTACATATAATTAAGCCAACAGGTGCATCATACTACCCTGCAAGTGCAAGAACAGAATTATCTCTACTGTCACCAGCAGTTAATTTCATCATATTAATACAGATTTGAGATTCATGATTCAACACTACTTCAGCACTTAAAGAGCTCACAGAGAACTGCAGGTTATGAAACTGTGCAATGACATTTTAATTCTTCTAGAAAGCCTCAACACCACTGATGAGAAATGCAGGAACAACTGGCAACATTTTTTGTAACATCTTGGATCACTGAGGAAATTTTACAAAGTGTATCACAAGTAACCAATCTACAAGGAGTAATGTTGCAATGTAAAAAAAAAAGCACTGAAAAGCATTCTGACCCAATTCTCACATCACAGAGGTCTTACTTTAACAACCAATTCAAACATGAATTTAATGAAAAGCTGGCTTCAGAAACAAGTTAACTCATGTGTCAGCTGAGGAAGCAATCAGTTCTGTTAAAGGTCAACTTCAGGTAGCATTTAAATACATGCTAGACTTGTGAAAATTCTGCATATGACAACAGACAGTATTATCCTATTTTTTTTTAATTTTCAGACAAGTTGTCACTTGCAATTTGTACTTTTGAGTACTACTTTAAAATGATGCTACTGAATTTCTGAATAAATTACTTAATTTGCATTTCTCTCAGTTATTATGACCAAACATATTTTAACTAGAAAAAGAGCTCCCTAGTTAACTAGCCAAAGTTGGTAATTTTTACTTCCTTATTAAAAACAGCTGTAAAGATTAGTTGCCTCATAACAAAATCAAACTCACAATCAGCTGCAGACCCAGAAACTACCTAGATCTTGTGTTTCAATATTTTAAAGTGAAACCATGTTCGTTCTCTCATAAGAGCCTCTCATGATACACCTCACAGTGCCAGATCACATCCAGCACTGAAACACCTGCTGTATTGTGGCAACCAGAAACAGTATCTACCCATGGCAACCACCCAAGGGATCATCCCCTTCTGCAAAGCAAACTACCAATATGAGTGAAAACAGAGCCCTTGAAGATAAAGAGATATGGTACATGAACAAGTCACTGTGAGGTAACATAGGTGAGATCTTGCCATGGAATAAATGTGAGCACGAGGACAGCCCATGGCAGAGAAGACTATGTGCATCCTTTATGCACTCCAGTTTACTTTGCACTATCTTGTCCTCCAAGTTGTTTCATGTCACAGGAAAAAGAAAATTGCTTCATCCCTCCATGATCATTTTCTCTCTGAATTCCTTACTCCATTTTGGCTTATTAGTCTAAGAACAGCTTGAGACAACAATCTGTCTTGGATTTGAAGAGTGCCTAATCTCAAATCTGTGTTAACATTATGAAATTAATTTCTGGTGACAGCAGAGATAATTCTGTACCTGCTTGCAGGGCAGTATGATGCACCTGTTATCTTAATCATATTTAAATGCTTCAGCTGAATTTTGTGTTGCCTGGCACAAAAGTACCTGGCACACAAGTGAGTCCCTGGATCAAGGTATCAAGACACCACTGCAATAATACCTAAAATAAATCTTATTGACCTACAGACAATCTAAGATATGTCATTATGCTGAAACAGCGAAATTCCCTATGACAACAGTTTCAAGAGGAAGTGAACTAAAGTCCTCTTTCTATTCCCGTAAAAAAGACAGATTGTGTTTACTGAAATCTAGTGTACAGGATGTAAATTCATTCATTAGAATCAACCTTTTAAAAGGAAGAGGTTAATGTTTATAGATATATTGAAAGACACAGCTGTCCTTTTTCAGTAACAGAGGCATATACAGAACAAATTCTCCTTTTAGTCAGACATTTAGCATGTCCTTATTGCAGAGCAGCAGTCATCACACAGTCATATTCAAACAGTGCTTTGGATTCCTTTCTGGTTTAAAAAATGACATATCTTAATTAGAAACACACAGTTTTTAAAACCTTTTTAATGCTCAGTTCCTGTATACACTCATGTATACAGCAAAGTGCAAAAGGCTACTTAAGGCTCAAGCTTGGTTTTCTTGGTTATGTTTTCTACTCCCTCATAGGTAATCTTAAATTTTGAGAGGCCTCTGGATCACATGTTCACTACCTGAAATCTCACAGAAGAGAGACAGCCAGACAGCAACTTCAATGCAGCTGACAGTAAAACAGGCAGATCTAAAGAAACCGAGCTCTGACCCTCATTTATAGCAGCAGCATGGTTGGCATTGCTCAGGGAGGGAACCTCCACACTTCTGAAATCCTCAGTACCAACGTACAACAAAAACTCTGTAAAATGGGGTAGAAGTATTTCTGCTGCACTAATGTAGTAAGAAACCAAAACATATTTACTCCACATATTTATTTGCAGTATTGACCCATACTGAGATTACAATTTCAAATTATGCAGGTAATACATACTGAAAGACAATGTGATTATTCAAGATACAGAGTATTATCAACAGAAATGTACTTATGCAGGCAAGTAAATGTAATTTAGGTATAGGATGAGTTTATCTGTTCATGAACAAAGGTACAATAACTGAAATATTCAGGAGGATGCTCTGGTTTGTTTTTTTAAGAGACTTTCCTTTCTGCAGCACTGTGCTGCTAAAAAAGTATTGTTTCATGAAACTCTAACTTAAGAATTGAGATCAAGATTTATTCAGATGCAATTCAGAATGGGGCCCAGCTCAGTGAAACCCACATCACACACCAAAACAAAGACAACAACCCTCTTCACTCACATAAACAAGAAAGAAAAACATACATGGTACCAGAACAGAAAGATGTAGGTTATTTCTTATCAATACTTATTAAATGTGTAAGAAATGTCTGATGCTATTTAGCAACAATTTATGAGTGGCTGGTTAAAAAAATTAAAATTATTCCTTAGGTTCACAGAATTAATTTTATTTGGGATTCTCAAGGCAATGGCAACAAAGAGAATTAGATGTCTAACCAGCAGAGGAGGAGAGAATCCACTCTCTTTGAAAACCTCAAACTAGCTATGCAATACCTTTCCAGGCTTCATAAAAACAGTACCTAACCAATTCATATCCCTAAGTTATTTACCACAAAGGATTTCACAGCAAAGTACAGAATGGGTTAAGATTTTATTTCATACAATGTTCCTAAATATTAATATTTAAAATATTTTTATTCTGCATACTCAGAAAATAACTCATACGTCTGTAAGCACTGTCTGAAAACAACTGAAATGGAAAACAATTCTAGAAAGGAATTCTATTCAATCAAGTTCTCTCCACAAACATGAAAACAACACAATGATATGGTTCAGTCTGGTCCTTGTGGGAGGAAGAAAAAGTTATCCTTCGTGACGTATTTCACAATGACCTTACAGAATTATTATATACAGAGCAGAACACTTAAATCACTTTTTAATCACCCTTACAAAGAAAGGTTTGCTTAGTATCATTTCAACAAAACTGCAAAATTTTCAGCCCAAGGCTGAAAATACTTTACTTCCAAAGCACAACAAACAGCTTAGTTCTACAAAATGTACTTCAGGCAGGTATTAGCAACACTAAATTCACCTGGGGAAGAAGCACTGCATTAACCTAATAAATAAAGGAGTGACCTATACATTAAAGACACAGCAAAACTTGAACTATTTCTCATACTTTTTATAAACTAGCAAATATGAAACTATGGAGATGCATTAAAATAAATATGGAGTCGCAGCTTATTACTGTCTATATATCAGAATGTGTTACTTACATTATTCAGATTTCTTGAGGACTTTTTAAAAGAGTATTTTTCGTTCAACTGAAGCACACACAAAAAATCCAGCAATACACTTACCTCACCTCATAGGGAAAATAAATCAAAATTGATTCTGTACTGGGATATGTTTTTCATACCCAGGAATTTAATATTCATTATGAAGGGCCTTTTCTAATCATAATGTTTTATCAGCAGAGAGGATTATCCTTCACATCTTGCTTGCAAGTCAAGATAAGTCAGAGGTAGCTTAGGAATGCTTTAGAATTTAGTGTTTTACTTGAAATGAATTAATCCCTCTTTCAAAGGGGTTAATAATAAGTACAAAAGGCAAACAGTATATACAGCTGCCACTGTCTGCACCGAAAGAATAAACACAAGAAGCTCAAAATGAGATTAGAACAGGGAAAAGCACAGTGCACTTTGCATTTGCTTCAGTGCACCAGCTCAGGCTGGTTTTCTACAAAAGGAAGCACCCCACTAACATAGTATGCTATTCCAAGTGACAGAAGAGCAATGACAATGATGAGGAGCAGCACCCTCCAGAAGCCCAGGTCTTCCACAAACTCTTGCCATGTCGTGCGGAAACTGGAGAGAACTCCTTCACCTTGCTGCAGGTTTGGATTAAGGAGGGAATGGCTTTCCATGGCACTACAAAGGATTAAAGTTAAAAATACATCAGAGCAAAAGAATGCACCTTTGAACATGACAGTAATCCTGCTGAGGGCAACCCAAACATCCAAAATTAAAATTGGACCTACCTGCAGATTTATAGCATTGCCTCTGCTAAATCAAGACAAAGCAGATCAGGAAAACCCTCCTAACTCTAAACTTAATTTAGCTGAAAGGATGTTTCATTAACCTGCACAAAGAGAATGATATTTACATATGTACAACTGCACAGAATTTGCAGGTTGCCACCCAGAAGCCTCCAAAAGTCAGTCCTCCTAATTCCTCCTACGTATGGCTTAGTAAAATGCAATGAAGCACAAGCTAAAACCTCAAGGGACACAGCTCTTGTTAATACAGCAAATTATGACTAGAAGTAAAATCTGATGAATAAAATGGAAACTTTAACCAATATTAATTTAGTTTCTGAATTCTGTAGTCATCTTTACTACTCTCCTGCAGGTCTTTCTTAGATGCCTCTTCTCTAGCATAAAAAGAAAATCACAGAAAACAATAAATCTGGATAACAAGGAGTTCAGAAAGTTTCTGAACAAGTTGGCGTTGCTGTGTTTTCTGCCATATGGCTTTCAGCAACTGCTTTGATGTTTTATCATACCACATCAGGCTGCCTTAAATTGTCAGACTATAAATTAGGGACTGCAACTCTCACTTTTAAAGGAGAAACAAATATCAAATCAGGATGAGGCAGTCATCTTGACAATGAATCACCTTTAGAAAAGATGCAGGTTGTCTCAAATACTGCATGGCTTCCTGCACAATTCTCCCAATTTTGCTGGTTTCACAAATGGTTTCTAACAGGAAACTTTCTCTGTTGCTGTATGAAAAACCTCATAAAGAATAGGAAAACTTTCTCATTGTTTGATTTCAGTTATGTAAAATTTTGCCACCTGCACAGTCCTACTGCTCCCCACTTCACTGAAACTACATACACAGGTGTTTACAGGATCAGGCTCTGACAAACACAGAAAGGAAATGGTGGAATCAGCTATGTACTCAGGGATGTCAATAGCAGAACAAACTAATTTTTTCCCTCCCTTCCAATTGCTTTCAGTTACTATAATCCTAAATATTTCTTATAGCACAAATAATGAAAAAAATCAGGGAAACTTAATTTCCAAGTCAAAACTAATTGCAGAAGTGCTGCTGTTTGTGGTGACAGGAATAAACTGACAAACAATCACTGTCAGAAAAAGGCCTCATTTATGAATGTCTCTTCCAAGATTACACCCCAGGAAACCTTCACACTATTCATAGGGTATTTTTTCTCAGGAAGTACAGCCACTGAAGAACAATTAACCTAAACTCCCATATCTTGCTGAAGTATTGCAGCATCACGTGCAGAGCATTTCAGAAATTGCCTATTAAACAGCTTGTATTTTTGTTATTTAAATATTTACCATGCTGTAAAGCTATTTTTGCTTGCCCATAGCTGCAGGATTTAGTCATCTTTCTTGCTTATTATGATTTCCCAAGCAAAACAAAGGGCCTAATAAAAGACAGCCACTGGTGTAGAACAGAACTACTCACTCATTAAGTACTAACTAGTTAATACATAACCACAGAGAGGTTAAATAAAGGTGCCCTGCAATTTAAGTGAAAAGATCACATGCTTGCCCATTAAATAGGAAAGGGTACATAGAAACCATTTTTGCTATTTTACATTATGACCCAATTAAAATCAATGTTATTCAAGATATTTTTTCTTATTATGATTTACAGCTGCCTGAGAAATGGCAATGCAGCAACACGTCCTCAGAAGAGTTTGTGCCACACAACCCAGACAGATGTTCTCTTCTTTTTCCAGCAGGACATGGAAGTTCACATTTGGACACACTTGTGGGCACAGCCAGAGGTCATGCTGGGCTGTGCAGATGGATAGATCATCTGTGCTAAAAGACAGACAGAGCAAGCTCTGCCTCCTGACTGCTCAGGGCCACTCCTCGCTGGGAGCAGGGCAAAGCAAGGCAGCAGGGAGGGCAAATGTGACTTGGGAACACAGCTCTGGCCTCTGCTTCCAGAGCAGCAGCCATTGTATGTAATAGGGAGCAGAAAACTAAAGTCAGAGACTGTTTTTAGACAGAGCATTATTTCCCCATAGGTTCATACATAATGTAAGAGAACTGGGAGGGAGAGGACAGAAACATTCACCTAAGAGTCTCTAAAATGTGAAAATAATATTAAGAGGGAGGAGTGAAACTGTGGAGGCCTGAAAAGCCAAATGTTACAAAGACATTATTTATTTACAAAGCAAACAGCACACAAGCTCACTTGCTTTTGCTGCTGTAGGCATCTGCTATTTGTTGTTTTAAAAATAATGTATTTCAGACATTTTAAACAAGTTCCCAAACAAGCTGGGTAGTGCACTGTTTATGTCTCTGTGCCTCTCCCCAAGGAGAGTTGCTGACTTCCTTGCCAAAGCAAACAATATAACATTTAGGAAGGTCAAATGACAGAAAGGAAGCTATGATCATTACAGGGACACTATCGACTCCAAATCAGAATTCAAATGGGGCTGAGCTGTTGGTCCATATGTTTAAACAAAACCAGCATAAATGCATTTCTGTGTGATAAGAAACTTCATAAAACTTAGTGAGGTCAGAAAGGTAACATGCACAAATTCTTCTAATTTATACCCATGTAATTTTTGAGAATAACATTAAATTTTCTATTTTGGTGCTTAAATCTCTGATGAGTGGGGTCACTTGATGTATAAGAAAGAACTTCCAATCTGGTCACTGGGAGTGTTTGACATTATTTCTGTCATTTTGTTGGTTTCACCTTCTCTATTTCCTCAGATAACTCCATCTACACAGCCTCATTTCCATTTGCAGTACAGGCTGTGAACATCTTGGCACAAACTGAACAACAGTTATGTGACAAAACTCCTTGTCTTTTGTGATATAATGTTCATGATCATTATTAGACAACATTAAGAAAAACCCAAATTTGAATAAATACAGTGTAAGAGCAAGTATTCCAAACAATGCTGATATCCTGTTTCCAGCATACATTAAAACTAAAACAGTATGGAAAAGATTTCTTGCATTATTAATCCCAGTTCCATGTTCTGTCATGTTTACTGGCAATTCAGTGATTTCTGAAAGTGAATTATCCTCCTTTGAAACTTGCAAGGCTTCTTGCCTCATCTAAATCCTACAAGAAGGCGTTTCTTGGAAGCTCATTGTAAAAAAACACTCCCAATTTTCAATCACAGAAGTATTTGTGATTTATCTGTATCCTCTGGCTCTTATGCTATCATCATCTCTTGTCTTAAACAGTTACTTTATTTTGTTCAAAACTAGTATTTGTCAGCAGTCACACACCTCTCAGCCTTCACTCTGCCCACTAAAATGAGCTCGAGCTCCCTCCTTTTGCACTCAAGTAAGGCCTTTCCACACTTTTACAGGATAAACTTTTTTTGAATGGGGCTAAAGAGCATAATGAAATATACTAGACAGCAGAGTCACTGTTGCTTTATACAACAGGACTGACAGTTTTCTTTACTTAGTGAAAATACCTTGTTTTGTGCTTTGTAGGTCTTCACTGCCTTTTTGAGGGTAGCATCAACTGGAACTGACTAGTGCATCAAGCCTTTTCTCCTATACCTTTATTTTCTGCTGAGGAACTTTTATTTCATGGCACACAGCTTTTGGTAAATAAAGCTGCATTTTGTACTACTGAATCACAATTTATTCCCACTCATTTCCTCTCCCTTGTAACCCTCATGTTTTTGTCTGCACTATCCCAATTTTCCTCTAGGTTGCCTATATCTCACTTCTTAGCATCACTAACATGCTTCTACTATTTATGCTTCTACTTTTTTTTACTTAAGAAAATTAGAAGTAAGCACAGTCCCAGGACCACACCTTTAGGCATTCCTTAGGGACTTCCTTCTCACCCTATACTTTCCCCTAAATGTTCAGCAATTTTCCTGAAATCTTCAGTTCTCTGTGAACTGTCTCTTTAGCCACCATGAAACCCTTACTCTCCCTCTTTTCCAGGACTACTACTGATAGAGATTTCATCTATGGCACCATATAAACCCCTTTATTCAAGTTCAGAGAGATGAAAAGTCTGCTACCCCTTCTTTGCACATCTTATCAAAAGGATGTCAGGTCAGCCTGATATTAGCATTTTGCATTTCACACTTTTTTCCTTTGGCTTTGTGATAAATGGTAGAACATTTGTATTTGGGACCCTATAATGGAAAATGAGTAATTATTTTTTAAAATTTCCACTATAAAATTAAAATCTCAATAGAAATTTTTTTTCCTTACATTTGATCTGTTTAAAGAGATTTTTCCAAAATTTACCATTTGATTTTGATTCAGTCAGGTAATATCAGGCCAAATTTGATATCTGTTTTCAGAAATAAACAATCACAAAAACTTAAAAGCCATAATCAGTATTTCTCCCAGTAATTAGTTTTGTTTGGTAAATACCTTTCGCTTTCAGCCGTTTGCATTGTTTCCAGCTTTGAGTGAGCTCCTCTGTTAAATCCTTTCACCTCTTGCTCCTCTAAGGATTCCAGCAGTCTAATCACATCTTTATTCACGCCTCTTCGTTTGGCAAGAACAAGTGGTGTTGCACCTTGGTGATTGCTAAAGTAACCCCACAAAAAGACAAAAAAATTTTGATATAGAAATTTTGTTGCAAGTCAACTCAGCATAACATACTACAATTTAATAAGTCCTCAGAACTATTTCCTGTTGTATCAGACAGTAAGAAATGCCTGTCTATACAAGTTAGAGCATAATTTAGTATAGAAGAAAATCAGTATATTTAGGCATGAAATTGCACAACTCTTTTCCCCCCAAAATAAAATCAAAATTCCTAGTACTCTAATCTAGTTGGAATTTCTGGGTGTTATAACAAAAAATAAACAGTAGATTTATGGCAATGTTCAAGTTTAAGCTTAATTTCAAAAAGAATTGTGCAATCTGGCTCCTCATAGCTCCTTTTCCATGAGGGTATTAGGACATCAGGCAAAAATGAAATAAAATACAGATGGTCCCTCTGCTGCTATTAAAATAATACTGAATAGGACCAGAGCTGTTTGAAATGAGGGAAAAGAATTCCCAAACCACAATCCATAAATAATCTGGTCTACCAATAACTTGTGAGTTGAAAACATTAATGAGGGACAGGTGAAAAAGGAACAGATTACAAAACTAAAAGGTTTTGACTTTACTCTTGGTTTTTGCACGTGTTGCGAACATGAAGAAAGTTCCACAAACAAAGTAATTCAGTACAGGAATGAAACAGCTAGTTATTTTGCAGCTTGAGAGCTTACATCTGAGCACTGGCATCTGACAGCTGCTGGAAGCCAGAAGGACAGAATATACAATATTTAAAAGAAGGACTGACTCACAGACTTTGAGGGAGGGCGAAAGCACTGAAAGGAAGCATTGTTACCCGAGGAGTATGGGAATGAACTGACATGCACATATACTGTATTTTCTTTGTCTTATACAGTACAACAATAGAACTGTGGCGGACAGAATTCTCTTTAAGTAGTCAATGTGATTTTTCCTTTGGTGCCAACCACCCACACCTGGTTGTCTGGCCAAACCAGGGCAGCAATGTCATCAGTGAGGCTGAATTAGACACAGGCAACCCACACCACCAGCTGCTATTTTTATTTGCTCTGCCTGTGGTACAGACTAGCAGAAACGGCCTCTTATTGTTTTCCTGCCTTCTTAGTTTGTGTTTTTATTAAGTAGTATCTTTAAAAAGTGGAATTGCACCAAATACAGCATTTTAGCAACAGCCGATTTATATACAAGGCTCTGGTTGACAGAAGACTAATACATTATAAAATATGTGCTGTAACAAATGACTTACCAAATATCAATTTTAAGTCCATTAGAAACCAGGAACTGGATGGTATCGACATGCCCACACAGATGAAGGGCTGTGTTCCCTTGGTAATCAGTGGCCAGTAGGTCAGCACCGAATTTATGCAGGAGTTGACAGATATCTACATTTCCTCTGGCTGCAGCCAGGTGAAGGCCGGTTCGGCCCCGGCTGTCGCGAATGTTTGGGTCGAAACCGCTTTCCAAGAGTCGTTTGGAGTAGTTAAAATCTCCATCAATGCAAGCCTGCAGCAATGGCACATTTGTCTGGGAAGAGTCGTTTACAAAAACGTAGGACATTGTTCTGATTCTCCCTGGAGAAGGTGACCAACCTGCAAGTAACAGTGGGAAGAAATGCTGGTGAAACCAGGCAAATAAACATAGCCCAAACGCTGGGAAGACTGCTCAGGGTCCCAAACAAGAAGGCAAACTAGCTTATAAGCCATCTCTGAAATCCTCCTGAAGTACCATTAACTTTTTGTGCTGCATTCCCTGCTGGTAATATGGAAAGAGACCCATTTACTCTTACTCACACCCCTGGAAACAGCAGCAAAGCTTTTGTTATTACAGAAAATGGCTAAGATCACTGCCACAAATGCAAGACAGGTGATTAGCTTTCACCTAGTAAGGAATCACATGTAGTAGGATTGATACTAAAGCACAAAGCACCATAGATTAGGACAGAGAGGAAGAACCACCTGTCATAAATGGGAAAAGTATAAACAATTCAGTTCAGGGGCACAGTGATGTTAACTGCAGTTTTTATCAGTTATAAGCAAAGCTACTCCAGTGGGATTTTCACCATCTGAATTTGAAGTTTGATGCACAAAGTTGCTAAAAATGCTTAATAGAAATACTAATTCGCTCATTCTGCAAGAAATATATTTTTCAATACTCTTTGCAGAACATTATTTTTATAGTGCCACAGATATACAAACTACTGAACAACCAAGAATAGCAACAGGGACCACAGAAACTGAATGCATTAGGTGAAATTGCCCATCTGAAAATGAAAGCTGCAAAGACAATGGTAAAATCAAGTACAGAGCTACGGTGGGTTCAACCAGAACCTCAACATGGAGAAGCACAAATGTAGTTTTCTTGGTTTAATATTAAATAAAGGATTAAGTCCTATTCTGTATCACGATCTAAAAGAGAAGTATAAATGTTTTACCATGGATGACTGGATATAGAATATTTAATGAACTATGATTTAAGTTTTGAGAAGAGTACTTTAAGGATGAGTCAGACAATGAGGGTATGATGACACTGTGTGTACAGGACACAGAAAAGATGACTCAAAAACAATCAGGAAAAAAGAGAAAGACAAGCCATTAGCAAGAGAATGGTAAAATGTGCATGAGACAATGGTAAGAAGAAACTAAAACATCTAGGAGACTGAACAGCAGTCTTCTCTTTGCACTGCCTCAGAGAGTAGGTAAAAAGGAAAAAAGAGTCATATAAACTAGCAAAAATCCTTAGAAGAAATCTCAATATAGACATGCCATGGTCCAAATGACAGGAGGGAAAAGTGATTTTACTAGATAAGCTTTGAACAGAAACCAAACCGAAACTTCACTTGAAACAGTATTTTTGACTTGCCCAGGGTTTCTATTTTGGGCTCATGGTGTAGCAGATTAACTCTCTGAACCTCTTACTAAAACGGCTATACACAGATTTAAATTTTCTCATCTATATAAGGTATCCTTCCACACCAGTGCACTCATTCAGCCAGGAGAATGGAAACATGGCCAGCAGCCAGAGAATTCAATTTAAAACCTCTCCTTTTCTGAGAGTTCATAATGTCTATATTTTATAGCTCTTCCCCTATGTTATAGATCACATTCAAGATCAAAGTAGCTACAGAAGTAATTTCAAAATGTTTGCACACTGGTCTGAACAACAGCTGTAGCATTTAGGGCTGTTGAGGTTAATAAATCATATTTGAACTTCACCAGGTTCTATTTCCTAGCTGGACAAATTCTGCTACATGTATCAACACCGTCTAGTTTTCCAGTGCAGGAATAAACTATTTTTTTTGGACACTGAAGAGAAAGAGATAGGAATAAATTCTACATCCTGGTATCTGTATAAGGAATGGTATTAAGCAGAGTACCTTCCCCCAGGCTGCAAGTATGTTTTTAAGCACATGATGGTGTGTCACTGGCTCAAGAACCCTCTTCCACCACCATCTCCAAGAGCAAAAGGCCATTTCACTCACACACTGTAAAACTTTCTGTGGACACTGAAGAGAAAGAGATAGGAATAAATTCTACATCCTGGTATCTGTATAAGGAATGGTATTAAGCAGAGTACCTTCCCCCAGGCTGCAAGTATGTTTTTAAGCACATGATGGTGTGTCACTGGCTCAAGAACCCTCTTCCACCACCATCTCCAAGAGCAAAAGGCCATTTCACTCACACACTGTAAAACTTTCTGTGCAACACTGGTGTCATTTAGGGCACTAACAGCTTTCTTATAACCCTCTTCAACAAGAAAAGACAATGTAATTAGTGACATTTCCAATGAATATGATACAACCCCCTGGGTGCTGCAAAGCTAGGATTCACAGCTGACAGCAATTTCAATTTTCTTGCCCATTTCCTGCCCCAATCTCAAATGATATGAGAATTCTTCTTCGACTCAGCGAGTCCAATCTTTGCTGAGAAAAACAGTGGTCCCAGTTTCTGTACAATGTGCTGGTGACCTTTAGATTTTGCACTAAATCTTTCCTAAAGCAAGATCATAAATAATTTTCAAACCTTCAATTATCAGCCATAGTAACAGCATATCAACAGCACAAACCCCTACTTGTACTTGACAAAAAGATCATGATTCGCTTGTGAAATAATACTGGAGTGTTTAAACCTGTTTAATAAAACAAGACCTAACATAAATCAACATGAGAATATTGTACTGGAAGAGACTCAGACTGTTTGAGAAATGGCATGGCATGCTCTGTTGAATGTAAGCTAATGTTTATATTTTCATACCAGATGTGTATGTCTGGTAAAGCCTTACAGAACTCCCCAACTGTGATGAAACATTAGCTAATAATGCCAAGGAAAAAAGTTACCTCCTTGTCTTCTCAGGAAAGGAAGAACAGAGATTAGCAGTTAACAGAAAGTGTAACTGGAAATAATTCTGACTCAGAATTTATTATCACTTGAATCTTCTCGAATTGATCACTGATGTGTAGAAGACTAAAGTGAAACCTTATTATTTCACAGTAAGAAAGACATAAAACCAGCAAATCCTTCTTCCCAACACTTAAAAGGTTGTGGACTAAGCCAATGCATTCACAAAAGAAAAAAAAAGATATGGACCATCTGGTTTGATTTATCTTTGTGATTAAAAAGACTTTTTCTACAAACACAATTCTATTTCACATATGGCTACCTAACCTATGCCAGATACAAGCTGCATACAAAGTTGAACTATGCACCATCTTTAAAATGTCAGTCCCCAAATGAGATGTTCTTGCCTCAAATTAACCCAATTTAGCAAATTTTCCTGTCAAATAAAACCCATAAAAAATTTGCAATAGTCAACTCAATTAGGTTTTTTTAATAAACAAATGCTGGTTACATTTGTTTATAAAATGTAAAGCTGTCCAGACTATGTATCAAAAGGATTATTGCTGCAATGAATATCTAATGCAGAGGATTCAGAAACAAAATTCCAAAGCAACTCTGAACCTGTCTAGGAGCTGATATACCGTGGTAGGCCTGATTTCAGAGGCACAAATTAGGACAAACAAACTTGCATTAGTAACAAGACACAAAAATATTGTGAAATGAGTGTTCTGAACATCCATGAGAATGACTACTACTATGCATTGAATAAATCCCATTTGTAAAGACTGAAGTAAATGACTGCTTCTAAAAATGCACCACTGTCTACTGAAGATGTACATTAAATAATACTTCTGTTTAAAAAAAAGTTCTGCTGTTAATAACTTGGTACTTCGACAGAGGTTTAGTTTTGTGAAACAAAGGGAAACATGAAGACATCCTTCCAAGCTAGAAGGATTCTCATTAGAAACATGTGATATAAGAATACATTTTCCCTAGATTTATACAACTTATATAGCCTCGACAGAGAAGTACACTCTTATTACACTTTTATTATTAATTTTAGAAATTATGCCATAAGCCAGTTCTTCAATGACATATGTGGGCTAATACAGGATGAGAAATTTAACCAAACTGGTTTGTTTTCAAAAGGAATGACTATACTGATTCTGTAAGAATAATGGACTTTTATTTTCTAGGAGCCAGTTGTCTCTCACTGTCCCGTGTACCATGGTAACTCAGTGTCACACACTGATCTGTTGTAGAACACGTTTACGCCGGCAGAAGCCATCAGTGATCTTGTGCAATTCCAACCACAGAGCTAAATGCAAGTTCTGTCACTTCTTAGACTAGTCCTAAATTTGTACCAACCATGGGCAGTTTTATTTTACAGTAAACACATGTTGTTGTCTCTGCCTTCTCATTAAGTTCAACAGCTACCAAATAGCTCCAGAAACAGGACAGAACAGCTTGACTCTGAGACAGAGTCACTAATGGGACCTGTCCCTCCACTACAAAAATATTACTGAACCTGCCAAGTTGTGATTAATCACCCAGTCACTACTACATAGCATATATCAGCACCGCAAAACTATAGTATTTCCCAGAGCATTCAGAAAAACTGAATTGTCCCTAACTTAAAACAACACACCAGAACAACACAACAATACCAGATTGCTCAATCCATGAGCCTCCTCAATATTAATGCACACTTTGACATCTAAAATATAAGAATCAGTAAGACTACCCCTAGAGAAACTGCCACCGCCAAGAAATGGAAACTGAAACAAAACCGAAAAAGTAGCATCCCCCACTCCATGACAGCAGAACACACAGTATGTGTCAACTCCCTTGTGGCAAACAGCTTCCTCTTTCTGTAACGCACTTTGAGAGCACATCAGTGGCAGTACCTGGCAGAGCTCTTCCTCTTCAGGATTTAAATGAATGAAAAACATCCCAGTACTTTGCTTAAACTGCTGAGGGAGAAATCCCTTGGTAAGTTTTCATGCACACATGCATTTATGTGTAAGTTACTAAGAAGTCATTTAACTGAATAAATGTTATATTTAGTAAAAGATTATGTGATCAACTCATTTCCATTTAGGAAAGAACCTCATTATCTACATCAAGTTTCACTGAGAGCTCTGTATATTCTATTAGAAACCTTTATCTATTCAGTCCAACTGGAACAGAGTTTTATGGCTCCACTAATAAGGATCTGCTGCTAAAAGCAGCACCTCAGACTCAGCAGAGCAT